CCTCGCCCGGAAGGGCCGGGGGACCGCCGGGCGCGCGGGATCCCGGGGCCCTGTCTTTCTGGCGTTCGGTGGCCGCTTGCTGTCCCTAAGCTGACGCAGGGATGCCCAGACGGAACCCGAGGGTACGATTCTATTGCGCGAAACTCACCAGACCACGTGCCTGCAAGTCTTCATCGCCTCATCCTTTTCAGTGGGTAATGGGAAACTACCCTGAATGTTCCGTGTTAGGGTGTTTAGCCAAATTATGGTACTAGAATATGTTGGAATGGCCTGCAGCCATAAACATGATAATCATGAAGAAACACGGGAAGCCCTTTATGAGAACTGGAGAAAGCTGACTATAAAACACATAGCTGTGATTGCAAACAACTACGTTAATACAAATGTGCGTATATATGGGTGAAAAAGGCAGGCCAGACACAAAATGAATAGGCTGTTGGGAATGTGTATAATCTAAACATGTACTGTATAAAGTCATCAAGGCAATTTCAAATAACAAAAATGAAAGCATTGAAAACTGTATTTAAAAAACATCAGCCCTCCCCCTACTAGAGTTCCATTCCCTAGAGGCAGTTTTTAACTCAGCTATTTCTTCTGATATTTAGCTCCATGTAGTGACAATGTTGTATCTTGACTTATCTATTTTGAACAATACTCATTTTCAATGACAATAAATGAAAATTTAACTCAGGTAATTTTTAAAAAGCCTTTAAAATGTCAATTCCAAAAACTATTACTGCACGCCTATTAGATGACAGTCACTGAGGTTTATAGGACAGCGCTGCTTTCTTTTTGGAGCTTACCTTCTTGAGACTGGGTGGTAAAGGATGGTGAAGCTTGAAGTCCAGCTAGGACAAGGAGGCCTTTTACTATAACCAAGGATCTCTTCTGCAGGGATGACCCCTTCATTGTTTCTTCTTTGTCCTTAGGTTAGCCCCACAGAAATGCAGCTGGCCTTTCTAGGACATCCTTTCAGACAAGCTATTTATAAGTGCATTGCAGGAACCAAGTTTTCTGGATGAGAGATACTCTTGTAGTTATCTGGCCTGGGCAAAAATTGCAAAACAAGAGAGTGTTTTGCAGGTGAGTGTGTGTGTACTGGAAACAGGAAAGATTGGGGCTGGAGGGAAAAATTGTCCCAAGTTTTTTGGTTGGATTTGAATCAGAATACACAGCTCTCTGACAAGCCCCCTATAGAGGGCAGTGGTAGAACAGAAAGCTGGTAAATATTTAAATCCTTCCTGGACTGGGTTGTCTCAAAAGTGGAGAACCAGGCTACAGTCTGTTAGAGAGAGCATTCATGTAAAATGGAGCATCTACCTTGAAAAATACTCTGGAATTTCCTCAGAAAGTTAAATATTAAGGTACCATTTTTACTCCTAGGTATATAACCTCAAGAACTGGAAACATATGTCCACACAAAAGCTTGACCATGGATCATAGCACTATTATTCATAATAACCAAAGGTAGATACAATCCAAATGTCTATAAACAAAATGTGGTATATCTTTATAATGGAAAATATTTGGCCATGAGAAGGAATGAAGGACTGATGCATGCTGCAATCTGGATGAACCTTGAAAATAGTATAAGTAAAAGAAAGCAGTCACAAAAGACCACATAACAACACACTGAGATTTGAGGGGGGGTAATTTATACTTCCCTCTTCCTCTCCTAGCCCCCTATGGCAATCTTACTTAGAACTTCAGACCTATCCTCTTGAAAAAGCAAGAGCCCAGAATCTGCTGAGCCTCCCAGTCTGTTTCCTTTCCCAAATTCATCAGCGGGTGAGTCATTCTTTCTCCCATGAGAAGGAGTGAGTGATGGGGACCGGAAAAGATGCCAGATACGGTCTTTTCATACTTTTTCTTGGTAACCCCTCCAAACATTGCTTGGTACTAAGTCAGTACTGACTTTATTCACCAAATAGTTATAGAACACCCACCATGGGCAAACTGTACAGTGAGGAATACATAGACTGGGCTATAGCCTCAGGGTGCTAGCAGTTTGGTTGGGAGATGACAAAGCTAAACTTTTGAACAGTTAAACCACAATCAGCCCCTTTCAATGTTGGATATTCCAAGTCTCAGTCCTGAAACTCCTCTTGGCTCCACTTCCACTCGCTTCTTTGGTGACCTCATGTCTCAGGGACTGAAATAAGGATGCCAGCCTCAACCTTTCCCTTCAACTCTGTCCTACTCTAATTTTTAAGAATGAATATTTTAAAACCATCTTAAATTCATCTCTAAAAGCAATCTCTGATCTTTCCTCCCTCCCTCCTCCCTCAACCAAATCTACTTATGTCTCAGTTTCACCAGGAATTGGTATCCCCATTGCTTGAAAAACTTGAAGTCTTCTCATACACCATATCTAATCCCCCTAAAAATTCTGCTGCTTTTACCATTTCATTATCTTCACCACTATTATCCTGGTCCAAGTCACCTTCATTTCCTGCCTGGATTATTATAATAATCTTCTAACATCTGCTTCTGCCTTGGTGCCTAAGGGCTACTTTCACCACAGCGGCTAGAGTGATTCCTTTGAAAGACTAAGTCAGATCATGTCGTGTCTCTGCTAAAAGCTCTAGTGGCTTTTCCTTCTACTCAGAGGCACACCCAGAGTCACACATGGTCCTATCTGGTCCGGCCCTTCTACCTCTCTGATT